GGGGCTGTTGACTCTCCATCTGAGGGCTAATGGACGGCCCAAGCTCTGCCTCTGTCTCTCTCTCTGACAGCTTCATTCCCTCTTCCACCTTGGAGCTCTCAGGTTGCCTTTAGGCTGACCCTCACTCCCACACCACTTCCTCATCCTCTGATTCGGCTGCTGAAGTGGCCGGCGGCCAACAGGCCACAACAAAAAGTTTCGTGCACCAAACCAAGCCTTATTTATCCAATAATCTTGATTAAACAATCAAGTTTAAGCACATTGGATGAACACAACCATCCATAATAAATAGAACACTCCAACATTAAAGGCACTCCAACATTCTACAAATATTTATGGTGACAGTACTGTGCCCAAGTCAAATCTTATATTTGGAAAATTATGATGATAGAAAATACAATTCTTCCAGACATAAATTACCTCTCAGTTCTTCAGTTAAGGTTATGTTCCTTAAACCGATGATGCTTAAAATAAATTCACTCATTTGCATGTACACTTATTGGAAGTATGTGCTGTTGAGCCATATTTACATTTCAGAACTCTAGACATTAAAAAAAAAATCACCCTAAGTAATTACATTAACTTCACATTGGATATTAATCAGCATGACAGGAAAAAAGAGTATTGTGGAAAACTTTGCAACCCTTCAATTTAATTCTGCTTCAACACAGCAATTCTGTTTGCAATTATTTGGCAAAAAACCAATATAGCAATCATAATTAGAAATGAAATTCATTTAAGGTATGATCTCAAAAGCTTGAGATTTTGACTGGAAAGTATAGTTGCTACACCAAAAAGGCTCAGCACTTTGATTTACCAATCATGATTTCGATATTATTAAGAAATTATTGTCCCAAAAGTGCTTTTTCAAAAGGCAACTGGACTTTTGTTTTCAAAAACTGGACTTTTGTTTTGTGAAAAACAAAGTCCAGTTGCCTTTTGAAGAAGCACTTCTGGGACAACCATGACCTGGATGACTGAGAATCTCCACAGACATTAAGCAGTTCTTATTTCCCAAAAGAGTGGCCATTGGAAAAGAACATGTGCTAAGAAGATAATCTGAAAGAGGGATGAGGGGGGGAAAAGAAGCAATTAGCAACTAGAGCAAACTAGTGCATAATTGGATTTATTTGGTTTTAACTGATAACACTGTATGATTTCAATTATTGTTTGTAAAACATGATTTATGATAATGATACACGCTACTATGATTTCCTCAACCGATCTTAGTGAAAACAAACCATAAACTCTAGTAGAGCTTTTTAACACCATTTCTAAACCAACCTAATTTTCCTTTGGAGCATGCTAATGCCTAACAGTTTCCACTGGTGGAATCCCAAATCACAAGAAATTCAATCAGTTCCAGGCATAATGATCCAAACAAAATAAGCCCATCTAGTCCCCCACAATCTCTCAACAGCATGACATGGAAGGAAACAGACTGTTCTAGATCGGTGGTTCTCAACCTTTACTTTACCACGGACCCCCTTTAAATAGCTTTTGTGGCCACGGACGATGGCCACAGACCCCCAAGACTTAACTCAAGATTTAAATCATAACATTTCTTCAAGCCTTCATGTACCTCCTGCGATGAGCCCCTCCCACCAGGGGTCTATGGACCACAGGTTGAGAACCATTGCTCTAGATGTCTATGAAGATTCTTAGTCATGCAGGTCATGGTTCTCCCAATGGTTTTTTTTAAAAAGGCAACTGGACTTTTCGTTGTTTGTTCGTTGCCGCGAGCTGCAGGCAAACTTACCTCACTGCACATGTGCGCACCTCACAGCTGATTTTTCTGCTGGTTGCAGGCCTTTTCCGGCTTCCCAGAGGCTTGGAAAAAGCCTCTGCATGGCTTTTCAGGATGAATAGGCCTGTTACATCACTTCCTGTAATACTGGAAGTGACGAAATGGGCATATTATTTGTCCTGAAAAGCCTTGTAGAGGTTTTTTCCAAGCCTCTGGGAGGCCAAAAAAGGCCTCAAACCAGCCCAAAAATCAGCTGTGAGGCACAGTGCAGATAAGGGGGTGGCAGGGGGAGATTGCGCATGCATGCACAGGGGGAGTGTGTGGGTGTGTGTGCATTACGTTCTGGGTGCTGGCACACGAGTGCGCGCACACTAACGCGCGCACAATTTTTGGCACAGGAGCCCAAAAAGGTTAGCCACTACTGCTCTAAAGTTCTTCAGAATGGTTCATGGGTGAAGTACACATAACAAAATTAGTCTAATGAGACTAATGTTACGCAGGAAATAAAAGCTGGAAAGGAAAAGAGAATAATAGTTTCTATGTATCAGTGTAACCCTGTACTGTACCCTAAGGAAAGTCAAGTATAGTACAGGCCAAAAAGAATATCAGCCATCCAAATACAGTATGTGCAGAAAAGAGATAGCTCCCTCTCGCATCAAATGGAAGTAGAAGAAGGTATCTTTTGTTATATGGTTCCAATAAGGAATCTGCCATTGAAATCAGCAAAACTACAACCACTGACATGGATAACACCTCCATCCTCAAAGCAATGGTTTTACTGCAACAACAACATGATGCTAGACATTCATCGGTGCACTAACAGCAAATGCATCACTGGGATCACCAGAGTGCTTCCTTCCATCTGAAGCAATCAATACAAAGCAGTAAGTAACTATTTAAAAATAAAAACAAAAAGGAAGAATTTTATGTTTTCCTAGAATTCTCATGGTTCCCCAAGCTCGTCTCTGGATTTGGGTGAGGAGTTTTAAGAGAACTATAATAAGCGCATGGATCCATGTGTACATTTCAGTTTCATGGATGCGAAAATAGATCATCTTACTAAAATACAATGGAAAAACGGGTTCTCATTTTGGGGCGGAGGAAAACCTGCCAAAATAAGTATGAGTTAATGGTAAGTAGACAAAATGGGGATCTCCTTGCCAGGAAAACAAGGTTGCATATGAATAGATCTGGTTACTGAAAAGGATGACATTCAAACAGGGTGAAGAATATCAGAGGGATGGAGAGGCAGACTTGGTATAAATTGGGAAGTAATGGTGTCCCATCAAGAGCAGGGCAGGGCAGGGCAGGGCAGGACAGAGAGATAGATAGACAAATAAATAGACAGACAGACAGACAGACAGACATAGACATAGACATAGACATATATTTAAAAGGGTGCTGGAGAAGATTCCTGCAAGTCCCTTGGACTGCAAGGCAATCAAACCGGTCAATCCCAGAGAACAACCCTGACTGCTCTTTAGAAGCGTTCAGATCCTGAAGATGAAACTCAAATACTTTTGGCCACCTAATGAGAAGGAAGGACTCACTGGAAAAGAGCCTAATGTTGGGAACGATTGATGGCAATAGAAGAAGGGGACAACAGAGAATGTGGTGGCTGGATGGAGTCACTGAAGCAGCAGGCATGAGCTTAAATGGACTCCAGGGGGATGGTAGAGGACAGGAAGCAGTGGTGGTATTCTTCCAGTTCAGCCAGGTTCTGCCGAGCCCGGTTCTGCCAAACAGTGAGCAGCGGAGACCGAACCAGTTCTCTCCGCTGCTCTGCTGTTGGATCCACTCGCCTGCCCAGGCTCCCATACTCACTTTTATCTGCTGAATTTGAACCACAGCTGCTTTGCACGGCACAGAAGAGTGCCACGCGGCAGCTGCTGAAGCGACCGGGATCGTGCAGGCTTGCAGGAGGTGAGTTAGAACGTCTCTGCACCTGCGCAAATGCCTCTGTGCCTGCGCAAAGTGCGCGTTTGGCGCATGCGCACACACAAAGTGTGTGCATGCACACAAAGCGTGCCCACCAAGCCATGCCCACCGAACCGGTGGTAAAAATACTTGAATCCCACCACTGACAAGGAGGCCTGGAGGAACCTTGTCCATGGGGTCACAATGGGTCGGACACGACTTCGCAACTAACAACAACTATCTATCTATCTATCTATCTATCTATCTATCTATCTATCTATCTA